AAGCCTGCAGCCAGTCTGCGTGTGTGTATATGAATGTATTGGTTTGCTGTGTGCGCTGAGCATCGTTTATTTTAAACATTTTTATTGCACATATTTCGCGTTTCATTGCAATAACTGTTGCCGCTGCCACTCTCCCTTGCTCACTTTTCACTCTCTTTCCTTGTAGCTTAAGCCGTAATCATATAGCCATATGGCCACTTAAAATGATGGACCCCCAGCAAATTGGCAACTTGTTTCCGTTTGTTTTCTCTTCCATTTATAACGGACTGTGAATTAATTGCGCATACGTCGTGTGTCACACGTATGTGGCATGACCGAGTGCTCAGCTTTTGTTTTTGTTGCTTTTGTTGACTTGATGCCACCTTAAGCATTCACATAAGTAGATTCCAGTTTGTGTATCTCGCTGTCTCGATCTCTCTCGAGGCTGACACGTTGCCATTGCATAACTCACGCAGACTTCATTCGCATCGAGGTCAATTGGTTGGGGCATTTCAGCTTTACTCAGCCGCTCCAATGGCAAATGAATGGCAATATATAACGACTAGTTTCTTGGCTTATTAGATACAATTCCATAATAAGCGAGCTTTTTCTGTAAAATTCTTGCTCACAGCGCATTTAAAAGTCTCGCTAGCTTAGCTGTGAATTGCATTTGAATTTCAATTCCTGCTTCATCATGCAAATATATTGAAATATTTGCAGTGCGTGCTATATGAGCGCATAAGAAAAGAAAAATTGTTTAGAAATATATGCACGTAAATACATGGATACCAAACGTGTGCGAGTGTGTGTGTAAGTGTGTGAAGCAGCAGCAGCTGCTTTCATCGAGTTGCATATCAAAAGCAAAGGCTAAAATGCATCTCGCTTTTGTGCCACACTTCCGTTTCCGTTGACTGACGGCATGTGTGTGCATGTACATGTGTGTGTGTGTGTGCGCTTGTGTAAGGCCAAGTCGGGTATGGTGTTAGAGGTAAGATAGTGTCAAACACAATGCTTGCTTAACACTTCTTGTTGCTGATTGCATTGCCTTGTTTGGCCAGCACTCGCAATATGCATTTGAAATATGCTCTCAAAACTTAAATATTTCAACGAGAATATGCACGCAAACATTTTTGCCAGTTAGATTAGAAGATGAAGAAATAAAAATGAAACGAGAATTGTTGAGCTGGAAACGTGTCTTTGGCACAAAATGCTGCAAATTTCGTTTGTTTTTCAATTAGCAAACAGAAAATAGACTGCAATCCACTAATTGATATTTTATCTTTTAATTTCTAGCATATTTTCTTCTCAATTTAGCAGCTTAGTCACTTTGTGTTTGCCAAATGGATTTGCAATCTGTCTCTCTTATCTCCATTTATTTCTCGTTTGCTATTCCGTCAGCCGCATAAATTATTATTTTATTATTCTATTGTCGCATTAATGCCAATTAAATATACAGCCATCGCAGGCGCTCCGATTTCCCGCTGACCACGCCCACATTTTATTAATGGTGTTTGCATTATAGCCACTGTTATTTTTTGTCGATCTGCTTCTGCCAAACTGCTTTTAAGCGGATTATCAGCAATTTGCTTGTCGAACTTATTAGCGATGTTATCTGAATAAGTTGCATACCATAAAGCAAAAAAAAAAAACGGATATATTATTTTTCTTTGATAGCAGCGTTTGGCATATTTAGAATTAATTATTTTAAATACTTTTAAGCTTCCTTGTTTAAACCAGCTCACAAAGCGAAAGAAGTATATGTTGCTGTCCGTCTCTGTTTATGAAACCAAATCATTTCGTCACTATCGAAGCTGAAGACTTCCCATTTGGAAGACTTATTGGCTTTTTGGCATTGTCGTCTTCTAAAGTGTGAACGATTTTTCTACAAATGTAGAAGTGCCATATCTGTTATAAAAGAAATTGTATTATCTAAAGTACGTGAATTGAAATTTTGAATTGATTTCGCATTTTCAATGGGTACAATGTATAAAAGCAAGTCAAGTGGTTTATATGTTGGTCAAAATAAAACCCACAAAATTCTATGTATAGAATATATATGTATATACATATGTTGCTAATTATAAATAAAAAATTCCTCAAGGGCATTCAATATATGTATTAATACTAATGGTTTCTGTTTTCCTCTTTTTATTTTTTCTGTCTTTTTGCTATTTATTTATTTACTTTAGATAATTTTTTATTTTTAAAAAGAGCAAATTGTCAAATATTTTTTCAATGCATAAATAAATTATTTAACACACAGTGGTCAATGTTATTGTTCTTGCTTGCTCTTCTTATTAAATATATTTTTATATATAATACATTTATCCATTATTGTTTTTAAATATTAAAATATATAGATGTTTGGGTTTTTATAAATTTTTAATATATATGTGAAATAATATTATGTTATAAAAATTAAAATTAAGAGAAATAAGAGATTCTCTGCCTATGACAAACATTAAGAGCACTTTGCAAATAATTTAACTGTATCACAAACAGGAGCTAAATACAATAAAATGCTCTTAAATATTATTTATTTTATTAAATATATAATATATATATATAATAGTAAGTATAGTCATTATCTTTTTTAAAGAGAGCAATGCAGCATGTGCATTTGAATCTTAATTTAATTAGTATTAGCATTAACGATCATTATCATGTACATAAATGATCATTATTCTTAATGATCATAACGGCTAATGAACATTATGACGAACTTCATTATAATAATATCAATTAGTGTTTATTAATAATAATGAAATACTAAAAATTATATATTTTTAACATTTAAACAATTTAATATATTTTAAACAAATGGACAATGTTCAATAACAAAAAAACTTAAATATATGTTGCATTATTTATTAACAAGAAAAATCGTATATATATAGATTTAAGCTAATACAAATTTTTTAAAATTAAACAATTTAACAAAAAAAAAATTATTCACCACTTGCACTGCACTGCACAACGACTGACTTAGTCCAGGTCTTGAACTTGACTGATCGCCCACGCAGCTGCTGCGCCCTTTTATAACCAAAAGTCACTCAAAAGTCAACGCCAGCAGAGCTGCTGAGTACTTTTTGAGTGACAATTTACACTTATTTTGAATTATGTTGGAAGCAAAAGGAAAGGCGAACAGGCAAAACTAGCTATATACACACAAGTTATCAAGCTGATCTTCCCGATCATATGCTACACATATACATTTAAGAGGTTTGTTAAAATGTATGTTTGATACAGAGAACGACGCATTCACACATACAGACAGACGGCCAGATGCACAGATGCACAGAGGGACAGACGGACAGAGTATATAAACTGTGCCTGTAACACTTAAACAAACGCATTATACACTGATTTAATTTACAAAATATAATGAAGTTCTTATATTATTTTTTTTATTATTTTTTTTTTAAATATATATATATTTATTTTTTTCACATTTACAAATTTTTAATTATTTTTTTATTTTATATACAGCGTTCTGTACAACTAAAACGTGCCAATCTGAATAATATCTGATAATGTTTTTATTTATTATATTTCGCATTTTATAAAAGTAAATATTGGTATTAAAATGAACCACTTATACAGGGAATTAAATTTTTCTTAAAGAATATTTATTTATTTATTATTTTTTTATTTAATGTATATATACATTTTAATTATTTTTTTTGTTGCTTTATCACTGAAATTGTGTTCAACTAAAACTTGTCACTCTGAATAATACTTGCTATTGTTTTATTTATTATTTATTTAAATTTATTAACATAAATATTGATTTTTTTGCTAGCTGCGCTGTTCGCTTGATAAACGAGGCGACAATTTAAATCTATTGGGGCAAGCGGCATGATTAATTGCTTTCAGCCAGCAGCACAACTCTGCTGTGACATATAGCACAACAAATACATCAAAAAAAATAATAACAACGAGAGGCAGAAAACGTGCAATGCTTTTGTGAGACACTGTTTACTGGGTTGGGCTGAAAAATGCATTGAAAAGTCCTTTGATTTGTTGAGTAGAATTTAAAATAAAATATTTGTAGACATAAAATATTTCTATATTATTTTTATTTTGATTAAAGAAACATATTTAATATTTTTGTATATTATTTATTTATATATTTGTACTAAGTTTGTTTAATCTTCTAATTTCATGAAGTAAATATTTTAAATATTTATTAAAAATATTTTTATTGAATTTCTATTTTATAAAAATATTCTTAGAACTTTGTATTATCTTGTAGCATCCGTTGAACGATTAGAACTAAACAGTCTGCATGTTGAAAACTATTTTTCCTCTAACATTGAGCTAAATAATCTTATCATAAATATTGTTCTACTGTGATAGCAAAATAATTAAAATTTTTATTTGAATTAAAATTAAACTTACAATAACTATGCCAAATTTAGTTATCATTTGCTAAATATATCTAGGTACCTTCTTCCTCTTCTGTATGAACAGGATGACCAATATCCGTACTTCCTGTTCAAAATAAAAAAATAAGTATTTTCAGTGCTTTCAAGCGCATGTAGAGATATGATTACACAGGAAAAGTGCAATTGATAGTTTAAACAAATTTGGAATCAAATTGATAAGATTCTTATAAGCTAACATATCCGTTTTTATGCTTTGTTGAAACTTACGCATCGCTCTTACGTTTTCGTCTAGAGTCCAAACCTCACGTGTTGTAGTATCAGAAAGTCTATCTAGTCAATGGTCTACAGTTAAGCGCTTGAAGTCTGTTTCCTGTGGGATATTTCGATAACGAAATTTCTGCATGAGTCTCGCTAATGGACTTTGAGCTTTGCATTAATTAAAAACAATCAGAGCGTACAATGATTGGGCCAATCAGTGAATCAAGTACTTTTGATTAGCTGCCCGTAATCTCTGGCCCAGCTGATATTCAATTGTCCGCCCACATTATATCAAATAGAGTAGCAAAAGCATATAAAGCTAGCCAGAAATCGTTAATCTTCAGCATTCGCTTAAGTCAACTCGTAGTCTGCAGTATGCCTTTCAAGCCAGAGATCTACTACGAACCGGACCAGAAGGTCTGGAGTGGTTCGTATGAAGCCCCATACTTCTCCCCTGACCTGTCCGTGGGTGAGATCACATTTACGGAAATGCAGCGTCATCCGCAGCTGATCGCACAGGTTAGCTAAAGCAAGTGTAGTGCAAGAGATTTGTATTCAATATTCCATGTGATTTACTTTAAGATCTCTGCTTCGGAAAACACCACGCTGACCCGTGAGGAGCTGTTTTTGAACTCGCAGAGCATTGCTTGTTATATGCGCAACTTGGGTCTGTATCAATCGGATATTGTGGGCATTATTGCCAGGAATACGACGCATATGTCCGCCGTGGTCTATGCCTGCCTTTTCAATGGCATTGCCTTCCATCCCCTGAATGTTAACTACATGGAGAACACCATTGAGAAGCTGTTCGAAATTACACAGCCTAAGATCATCTTCTGTGACGGTGATGAATACGACAAGGTGAAGGCAGCCACCACCAAGCTGGATGTTAAGATTGTTACCATGCGCAACCACAAGGATGGCTCCATTAAAATAGAGGATGTGGTGGCCACGCCCATTCACGCAAACTTTGCACCTGTGCGCCTGGAGCAGGGCAATAACCAAACGCTGGGCATTCTCTGCTCATCGGGCACCACCGGCGTTCCCAAGGCCGTCACCAATGCTGGAGCACACAAATTCTTCAGCACAACCAAGTAAGGAGGCAAAAACTCTCGATTTATATCTAATTCATATACTTACACTTGTTTGATGTTGACATTCCTATAGATATTTGATTTCCGCGGACATTCAATACTGCCACAGCACTCTCGACTGGGTGACTGGCTTCACTGCGGTCATATCGAGTGGTGTGCACAGCACCTTGCGCATTATATCCGCTGAGAACTTCGATCCGACGCTCGTATTGAACCTTATTGAGAAGTACAAAATCACTTGGCTGCTGATTGCGCCCTCTCACATGGCCATGCTGGCGAATAGTCCAGACTTCGAGAAAATCAAGATGGATAGCCTCAAGCACTTTATATATGGCGGCATGTGCTGCTCTGTGGAGGTTCAGGAGCGTATACGCAAGCGTTTGAATAAGGGCGTACTGCAGTTCGCCTATGGCTTCTCGGAGCTGGGCTCCACGAACTGCACGCTCAACAAGCATTATGATGAGAAACCCAATTCGGTTGGTCGCATTTTGCCCGGACAAAAGCTGAAGATCATCAACGAGAAAGGCGAGGCACTCAACCCGAATGAAACGGGTGAGATCTGTATCAATCCCTGTCAGTACTGGCCCGGCTACTACAAAAATCCAACTGAGTCGCGCAATGTACGCGATAAGGACGGCTGGTTCCATACCGGCGACTCGGGCTACGTCGATAACGATGGCTTCCTGTACATATCGGGTCGCATTAAGGACATGCTGAAGTTCCAGAACATCATGTACTATCCCAGTGATATCGAAGATGTCATCACCAAAATGCCAGGCGTGGCCGAGGTCTGTGTCTTTGGCATTCACAATGACATCAACATGGAAGAGGCCGCAGCCTCAGTAGTGCCTAAGCGAGGCGCCAAAATCACGGCCGAGGATGTGGTTAAGTATGTCAAAGATAATGTCAGCACAAACTATCTGCAGCTGCATGCGGGCGCACTTATTGTCGACGATATCAAACGCCAGCCCAACGGAAAGACCAGTCGAGAGGCCACCAAGCAGCATTTCATAGAGAATAAGAGTAAATAATTTCTATTCCTAATTCCACTTTGTTTTTTATGTTATTTTTTAAACACACCTGATACCTTCCTAATGTTCTAATGTTCATATGTACTATATAAGTATATACATACATATATATATATATATATATATATATATATATATATATATATATATATATATATATATATATATATATATATATATATATATATATATTCGTAATATATTAATAAATATCTTCACGAGTTATTGTTCATAAAAATTGAGAGCTTTCTTTGGATTCAAAAGCGTTCATAGAGCCAATCAGCTTTCCACCAGTTTCTTTTCTGTCTTCAGACTAGCTTGATAAGGGATCCTAATCATTTAACTAGTGCCGCGCTTGTAGACAGGTTATTTGATTTCAATTAGCTTAGCTTAAGATAGCGAACTGTCTTAACCTGAGACTTCCGCAGTCTATCATTCTTATCAAACAAATTATAAAAAATATTAGATAAGTATTTATCAATTTCATGAGGCAGACGACTTTGCATTTCTTATCTTAAGTCAAAAGTTTGTTATGACTGAAGCCCAAAAGTTTATATTAAGATATCGATATAATGCCGAATTTTGTCTAAGGAAGATAATACGCCATAGTAGCTGGACTAGACTGTAAGCCAGATAAACTTGCATATTAAACTAGCTGAGCGATATGTCGAATATGCTAAAACACATTTGACTTTTATGACATGTGATAAAAAGTACATCAACTAAACTTCAAGCATTATTTTGTATAATTTTTATTAGATAAGCCGCAGGCCAAGCTAACCACACTATATTCGGCTTGAGTGGGGTTATTTGGTAATTATTTAAATGGCATTAGATGTGCCATAATGATAAGGCTGAGGCACGTTTTATAGCCTACGGTTCGACGATTACAACAGCAGGAAAAGGGAAGGATGTGCTGCACAATGTTGGCCAGCAAATTAATTGCATTTAGTAGTTTTTGGCTTGGCTTGTCTTGCCTTGCCTTGCCTCAGTCGCTCTCATTCATTCATTTATGGTAGTTATTGCAGTTGTACTCATAGTTTGTATATGGGAGAAACTTTGCACAAGCCGCTTATCTCCCACTGAAGCGAAGTTCAACAAGCCCGCAAGTGTGTGGCATTAAAAAGTTTTTAAATTTACGCAAAACGTTTCGCAATGATGCGACTTAATTGTTAGCTGTTAAGATTTAAAACACACACGCATAGTGCTCGAAACAGCGACAACTGGCAGAGAGTATGAGATAGGCAGAGAGTGAGAGAGGGAGAGTGGGAGAGGGAAAACACATGCATACACTAAAAGAAATGTATTGTTTAAGCTTTGTTATATATGGATTTTATATGAAAATCTTACTTGAGTGAGAGAATAAATATCAAGAAATATGAAAAATAAATTTTAGCGAATATAAGAAAAATTAATCAAAAAACTAATAAGAGAAATATTGAAGTTAAATAAATTGATAAGCTAAAAAAACTAATTTATATAAAATTTATAGTACTGTCTGAAAATTGGTCCAATGAAATAAAACTATAAAAAAATATATATATTTATTTTAAAAATAAATATAAACAAAACTTAAAATGCCTAAAAAATATTTCATATAACGAAAAATAAAATGTGCTAGAATTCTTGTAAATTGAGCTATGTAAATACGAAATGATAATTAATATATCTAAAGGATTAAAATAAATAAAAATTTAAAATAAAATAAGAAAAATATACAATTTTAGCAATAACATTTTTGAAATATTTCTTTGAAAAAATTTAATTTAAAACCAAGCCCATTTTTATTTACATACAACAAATTTAGAAAACAATATATACAACATTTTTCAATATATTTCCGAAATATTTAACAAAAAAATATTTATATATAAAAAACAAGGGGAACCATATAAATGTAACTCCATTCGAGTAAAATATGAAATAAATATTAAATAATAAACTAACTAAATATCCCATTGCATTTTCATGTCGTTCAGTGTATTTATGCTGTTATGTACTTTATGCCTAGCGGGTATCTAAAAACTTTATACAGCAATTCTGAATATTTTTAATATTTTACATTTTTTGCTCTTAACAAGTATTTATTCTTTATATTGAACAATTAATTTTGCATGTTAAGAAAAGATTTATAAATTAAAAACCAATAAGCCAACAGAATTATAATAAATAAACAAAATGTAGCTTTATTTAAATAAATTTATTAAATATTTATATATATATATATATATATATATATTAAATATTTATATCTTAATTAATATATTTATGCTTTATATATCTATAGATATATTGTGCTGCTCTGCAAATATTCTGATTGCTCTTCAGTTAAGGCTTATATTTAGTTGCCAAATTTAATAGCTCGTTAAATGCGTAAACATGAAAAATGCTGCGCACACGCTTTTAAGCTCTTTGTATGAATAATATTTGCGCGAACTATAACAAAGGGCGGGAGGGTGAGCTAAAGAAGAGGAAGAAATACGAACTGCTCTAAGCCTCAAGCAAAACAATTGAACAATTTTTGTGCGCTGTCAACGGGTTTTTCTGGTTAAGTTTTGCTGTTTAAGGATACATATGCCAGCTGCACTTAACTATAAAGTAGCTAAGGCAAACAATATTAAAAACAAACACGAATAACGCACACAGAGACATGTATTAGCTGAAATATATGCACAGCAGGTGCCGCGAGCTACATGTATATGTGTGTGTGTGTGTTTGGCTGTGTATGCTCGTAAGGTGCATCCGCTTTTTGGTCGAGTAGCCGCAGCACTCAGCGCCAGCGCCAGCTTCAGCTACAGCTACAGCTACGGGCACATTAATGTTGTCCAAGTGCTTTACTAAATTATGTATGTATACGTTTCTTTCGCGCCGTATGTGTGCGTGTATGCTTGTATGTTGGTGTGTGTATCTATGCGCAAATAGTTTTTCAAAGTGCCTGGTAAAGGTTGGCTGGGTAAGTTTTTACTTGCCGTAGACACCAACTGTAATTATGTTGAAAGTAAAATGCTTGTAAAATATTAACTGCTGCATGCCATATGCTGCACACACACACACACATATAGACGTGTGTATGTATGTGTAAATTTAATATTTAAAATGAGTTTTACGCTGCTGCTGTTGTTGTTGCAACATTTAACTAACAGCGATTTGCCTTGGCCGCAGCCAATGCGCCTGCCCCCATTCCGTTCGTTCATTGAAAATTGTTTTTGCCCACAGTTCTTTTTTCTGTTTTTTTTTTAAGCCCGCATATTTGCCATCACTCGCACTTGCATGCCGCATGCCGTTTGCCGCATGCTGCACTTTTCATTTGGCGAGTCGGCCAACTGGTTTGCTAATAGAAATAAAAACACAAACTAAGCCAAGCTAAATGCTCAAAGGCTTCAACGGGTGCCCCAACCTCCCAGTCTCTCTCTCTCTCTCTTTTTCTCTCAGTCTCTCGCTCCTCTACTCTGCTCTCTCCATGCCAACCATTCGTCCTGCAATGAAAACAAAAAGCGATTTGCAAGTTTTCTATTGCGCATAAAAGTATGCTGTGGAAAATTTTTTCCCATGACGTTTTGCTCAACATTCTCGTTTTCTTTTGGTCTCTCTCTCCCTCTCTCTCTCTGTGGCACGCTTTCCATATTTTTGTTGTTGGTTTTTCTTTTATTTTTGACGTTGTTGTTTTTGCTTTTCATAAAACCAAACTATTAAGCCAAGTGTTAAACTCATTTAGCGCGGATTTATGCGCCCGAGTGCCCCATACAAGATGGTTTGGATGAAGGCTAAGGGGCGAGGCGGGCCTTGCTATTAAGGGTCATGCATATATGCCATTGAGTGTGTGTGAGTGTATTTGTTGGGCTGTTTGTGCATATAAGCGTGTGCGGCTAGCACGTGTGCGTGTGTGCGCCTGCTTCGTAAACGTTCCGTTTTCTTTTATGCGTTTTTAATAAGCCTTTTTGCAGCGCTTGTTGTTTTTGTTTTGTGCCTGCTTTTACGCGGCTTTATGCCATTTTTTTTTCGACAGCACACACATACTCATATATTTCCATTAACAGCTATGCATTTGGTTAACAGCTAGCTATTTTTGTTTACCGGCAATCTTCGAGCGTGAAATGGCATTGAGTTCAGCATTTGCTGCTGCTGATTACGATTTCATTAGTGACTGTCGTTGCAGGTCGATTACAGGTTTAAGCTATGAACTTTTTGTATTTTATTGTATCTACTAATAGAACTAATTTATTGATAATGTCACTTAAGAGAGTAAAAAAGTAAGATCAGGCAAACTCAAGCAACTCCGGAGCTTTCTTGTTTCACGCGTCAACGTTTTCTTGTTTTATTTTAATACCTCGATTATCGAGATTAGTTTTAATCGGCTTGTATCAAAAAATTAACTTTTTGCGAATCTTCTCAAATATTTAAGCAAATATTTAAGCAATGTCTTTAGCAGTTGCTGAAATAAAGTTATCCAAAAAAGTTTCACTCTAGTGTGGTCACGTTTAATATTAATATAAAGAAGTAAATGCAATTGCCGAATATTTATTTGAAATTCAAAGTTAAGTATATATATTTCCTTAAATTTAATACAATTTTATTTATAGCATTAAAAATTGTTTTATTTATTTTTGTCTGAAAACGCACATTTTTACTTTTTTACAAATATTTTTAATATTTTATGTTAACACTTAGGTAAAATAAATACATTGAAATGCTTTCGGAAACTGTTAAATTCGTAAATTATTCTGAAAATCTTAAAGCTTTTTTGTGTAACTTTTTCATGGTTTATGGTTTATGCAATTGTAAAACAATACAAAATTCATTAAACTGAATGTGTGTGTGTGTGTGCCGCTGTGTGAGTATGTGTATGTGTGCTGGGCAGAAAAGTCATTATTTGCTTGATGTCGTTACCTGATATTGTCGTATTAATTTTTGATATGTAATCTGATTTATTGGCAAATTTTTGCCAGCCAGGCCAATGTGTTTGTTAGTATGCATATATTATGTATGTGTGAGTGTGCGTG